AATTTGAAAAGATATCATAAAAATTTGAAAAAAATACCGACATTAATATTAAATTAATTATTTAAAATTTCTCGTTTTTTTATAATTTCTATAATATTATAATTTGTTTTTAGTTTAATAATATAACATTTTATAAAGATATTAATTAAGTATTCTGTTAGAACTCAATAATTATCCTAATTATATTTTGGATTTTTTATATTTAAAATGAGATGTTTATCTTGTATTTGATTGTGTTTATCTACAGTTAGTTACACGAATTCATATATGAAGGTTTAATAAGTTGTACTTACGCACAATCTACTTGTAATCTTGAGTTTTAAGTAATATGCATTAATAAACAGTATTATAAGCATAAAAACCGGTTTTTAAGAGTTTTTGTCAAATGTTTTATAATATAGTATAGATTATCATTATACTATATTATAAAGTATTTAATAAAAATTCTTAAAAATCATTTTTTATACATAAAGTACTGTTAATTAATCCATATTATTTAATGTTCAAAACTACAAGTAGATTATACATAAATACAACTTATTAAAGCTTTATTTTTGAATTAATGTATCTAACTGTAGATAAATATAATCAAATATAAGATAACCATCTCATTTTAAAAATTAAAAATTCTAAAACATAATTCAAATAATTATTGACTTCTAACAGAAATAGTTAATTACTATCTTTATAAAGAATTATATTATTAAATAAAAAATAAATTACTTCATTAGTAAATATAAATTAAATTACAATAAAAATTTGAATTAAAAAAATTACAAAAAAATGAGAACTTTTAAATAGTTAATTTGATACTAATATCAGTATATCTTTTTCAAAGTTTGATGATATATTCAAATTTTATATTTTATTCAAAAATAAAAACAGTATTGTTTTCTCAAATTCATGTAAAATCGTATTATATCGATAAGAACAAAGAATAAAACAAAATATTAAAATCGAAATATATTTCGCTAATGTATTTATTAATTAACTATAGGAAAATCTATATCTATACGATATTATAAATCATTTGACAAAAACTCTTAAAAACTATTTTTTATGCACGAAGTACTGTTTGCTGATGCATATTACTTAAAATTTAATATTACAAGTAAATTGTACATAAGTACAACTTATTAAAGCTACATATTTGAATTCGTGTAACTAACTAC